TGTACAAACGAAGAGATAATGAAGAAATTGAATTTCAGCACATCACTTGCATCAATATTTTTGAAAATTGTAAACTTGATTTTCATAAAAACATAACGATGCTCAATCATCCGCCGCTGATTCTATCTAATGCTGACATTATTTATTTGGGCATTCATGTATGGCTATAAAAATACAGATTTTATATTATTTTCTATTTAGTTCATTGCTTTTTCGCGACTACCTGCTGTAAATACGAATTTAATTCACTTGCTAAAAGGCGTCCATTTTAGGGAATCGAACAAAGCTGCTGTTGCACAGGGTATTATTCGCAGTTTTGCTTAACTAACAGATTACATAGGTACCACCGAATTAAATGTAAATAGTACAAAATTTCTTGCAAATATAATGTGAAAATGTTTTCAGCACGGTCGCAGCAGGGCACGAGGCCCAAATTATTTTATTAGAAGCAACCATATGGCGAATGTTTAGATGTGTCTTAAACAAAATTCTTGAATTTGTAAATATTTATAAGAGTACAATATATATATATATCAGCATAACTTATTTTGCAGATAATACCTAAGTCTATAGCAAACTATGCTCGGAAACCAAATTAATTAAAGTTGTTGGAATAACTAGTTTACTCGCATGTAAATTATTAACCTATTGGTTAGGTATATACTTCTTTTTGAATATGACTTGCGATTACAAAAGACATTATAAACGAACCCAAACATTATACCAAGGGAAGGGGACTCGATCGATGGTAAACTTTTCTCTGTGCCAACTATTGAAAATTAGTTTTTATATCACAATCACGTTTTCTTTCGTGCAATTTGACATGTTGCAGAAAGTGAATCTGCCACAATAAAAATGAAAAGTCTAAACCATTCCATATACTGTTAATTGATCCTAATCGAAAAAATCAACCAAGTGAGAGTAAAATCCGAAGAGTAAATATCGAGACAACATGAAATGCATCGAGATCCACCATGCCTATAAAAAAATTGATAATACCTGTCAACCCAAATGATGTCCTGTTTTCATGTTTTAACACAAAAACTGAGAAGGATTGGTGAAATCGCTTAGGATCTCCTGCATCGACACAACACATTTTTTTTGATAAGTACGACAAGCACATTGGTTTTCATGACCCCTTGTAGGGTATTTCACACATGTTTGAGAAAAAGTCCCCTGCCGGTCGTGCCACAGCTGTTTAAGTCCACACACACGTGTCTTACCACGAGCCAACACGCAGCCATATCTCATATTTCCAAGTCTGATCCAGAGGCGCACATTATTATTATTCTTTTATCCAACAATATCCCAATACATACTCTACCCCCATAAAAGTATAAGGGTATTTCACTGCCTACAAGTCATATTCAGTACAAACTTTTCCTGATCGGAAATAAGAAGTAGTCTAAAAGTCAACAATCTCACAGGATGTCTAAATGGAGGGTTGAAATAACTTTTCAAGCGGAAATTGTTAGGGCAAAATCGACCGGAGAGGCAACGAGACAACATAATTGTTCCCTCTAAGCTGATACAGGTACAGAAATGGAACAGCTTTAAATTTGTTCCATACACAGCAAATATACACCCATATACACTTTGTTGACTACATCTCACATTCACATGCGAAAAAGTACGTTTTTGACGAGCTTCTAAAATTTTATAGTATCTGGTCGTATATTATTGATACTTCTTCAAGTCTGACTCAGTCAATAACATTGAATTTTGCAGATATCACAACGTAGGTCAAGAAAATCAATTATCTATTTGAAAGACATGCATTACTATCATTAATGCATTTCAAATATGCCAAACTCATTGTTAAAGAAAGAGTCTGTCTGGATGTTCTCTGTAGAATTCATAGGCATTTCACATAACTTTTAATAATTAAAGATAATATCATGAAACTTACCCTTGTAACGAAGTTTTGAAAATTCATATCAATGTGTCAGTAGGTCTGAAAAAAAATCAAAGTGTTAAACATAAAATACAAATGTGTTCAATAAATTATATTTTATTATTAGGTATGTTAGTACCAGCTCGGCGAACGTAAAAAGATCGAAAAATAAACTTAAATGGGTCCTACTTTATTAAAACTGTCCCCGAAGCGAATTCTTTTGGTGGTGGCGGTACATTATGAACAAAAAAGAACTCGAGAGTAATTCTAATGTTGACTTTGCTTGCTATACATATTTAAATAGAAAATAAATCAGGATAAACCGTCTATTGCTTTCAGAAAAGCAAATGTAAAAATGACCAACTAAACGTCGCCAATGAAAACACTTCACCAGTACAACTCAAGAGATAGGTAGTAAGTAATGGTACGAGACGTCCAGGCACAGTAAATGACACTTTCCTAAAGAAATTTTATATGGATAATCGTGACTATTCCAGTTAACTAACAATTGAATACTTCATCCCTTTGTCAAACCTAAATTGCTTAATACTAAGCTTTTTTTAAGAAATAAGCATATGCATTTGCTAAAACACAATTACAAATTTGAGTACAATTGCAAAATGTAAATTTTATATTTTGGCGGTAGTTTCGGCTAGTATGGCGTCTTCAGAGTAATACGTTCAATTAAAAGTTTAGTAAAAGACGTTTGAATATTAAAAGTGATGTTGTAGGTCTGCTAATTACCGTTTTCAATCCTTTTTTCAGACTGACGCCAAGTAATACAACCTGTTTTGCCGTTGTTAAACCGGTGCAGCAAATTAAAAATATATGATAGAGATACAGAGCTACAGGGATTAACAGACACCGGCCAATCATGTTCAATAACAAAAATCAAGAGTTTATCGCCATGTTTTGATTTTTGTATTCTTGTACTTACTACTTTAGTACGGTTAATATCGATAACCGGTGGTATTCGGATCGGCAGGTCACAGGTCGCCGAGGATAGAAGCTTAATCAAAGTAAAAACTTTTGAACAAGCTTCATGGTAATGAAAAAATGCATCACAGATGAGACAGAACAAAAAGCATTAGTTGCAAGTAAAATTTTGTTGACCTCTAGTGGCCTTTTGCAATCTTTGCCTAAGGCCCGTCAATGTCAACAGTGAATTCGCCGGTGAAGGCCACCGAACAAGCTACTTCCACTTAAATAAAATATGGAATACATTTGAATAGGACAACTTGATGGGTTATGAAATGAAAGAATCACTAGCACCGGTCAAACAATGTCCATTTTCACAACACACAATTAAGCATTAAAAATTGAAACACAAAAATTAGTATAATTTAAGTAATTTATACAACCACTTGCACGGATATATGACACTACTAGCCAACAAACGAACAAACAAGTGCACTACCCCCCTACCGCTTGACTGATATCGCGATGGAACAACTCTGACGTCAGCTGTTATTGATTCTAGAGAACAGTAGGAAAACTGAACACCAATGGCGCGATAAATTAGCAACAACGTATGAACATCTAATTAACCCATAATAAACTGTTTCGTTTCGAAGCCCATGCTCCTGTGTAGTGTGTCCTAGTAATTCTTTTAACACAGCGACACTACCTACCATTTCCCGGTGATGTCATAATGACATCACATTCCTTTCGCTTTAGGCGAAATTAAGACCTTGATTAGTTTAGCCGACTGGTCCGGATACTTTTAGTTCATTATTTTATACATATGCAAAATAAACAAAAACTGTTAAATGCTTAACATTAGGTTATTGCCGTTCAGTACTTACATCATTGTGCCTCTCTTACACTTCTCAAAACACTGATCACTTTCCAAATAGACTTTATCAAAACTTGTCTAATTACTTTATTTATTTGTTTATTATCTAATTTTTGCTTTTGGCATACACGACCAACTAAACTCTTATCAAAGTGACAGTATTTTAATAAACATAAGCAACGAATTGGCATATATATTTTCATGCCGGTGCGCCATCTTTTGGCGTTGCACATAGATAAATTAAATATCCACTCTCACCGTGCTTACTGTTTACACCATAGAGAAAATAAAAATTATTTGAGTTTTTTACGATTTACACTACAGTCAGAGTCCCTACTGACAACACTCAACTGAACTTGCACTCAAGACAACTTGTTTCTGACTTGCACACAAATTAGTTATTACATTTTTTTATTTTACTGTTATATCAAATTTTTTATATTGTTATTCAAAGATTACAAAGGCACTATAGAAATATTCGTATTAGTATCCGTATAGAGAGCTTTTAGTTATACTCTCGCTTATTATTACGCACTTGACAAATTTTCATTTTTTGACGGTTAGAGATTTCTCTGCAGAGATTACAGAGTGTAGATTGGATAGTCAGATGCCCAGTGCCTTAACGGCCTTGTCGCCACTTTAGAATCATTAGCATTTTAATGTGTTTGACTATGATAACTTTTTACTGTTTAATCTTTTTTAATAAATCTGGGTTTTACAACAAAATAATACAAGGTAAATAAGGTATAAATATAAGGTAACCAGATACCCGCCGATTAAGTGTTGTGCTTGTAGTTGTGAAAATTAAGCTGTCGACGATATCGATTTCCTAAGAATTAGCCACAGACTTGTAAAGTTCGTTAATCGTTAAACAGTTACAGAAAATATACAACAACCGAACAGTTGGCAGAATAGCCGCAGTACATGGATGAACGCTAATCTGGAAGGAGTTTTAGTGAATAAACAGCTGGGCTGGAGCCCCACATAGGGGGTGGATCCAGCTTTCGAGTCATGGGGGTTAAGTAGTAGAAATTCAGTCTTTTGTTGTCTATGAAATTAGAAAAATACCAGCTATGTAAGAGAGCATTTCGTAAGCCTCATCGGTAACTAAAAAAACGATGACTTGAACTGAAATATAGAAACTTAAGCCGAAATCGCACAGGTCATAAACTGATTTAAAATCCCCGCTAATTTTGACGTAAACTTAATCGGTAAAAAAGTTTTCTTTTACAATCGGTGGAAACTCGACTCTAGTTAGGAAAGCACCGGCTCGGAATAAGAGACAAATAGCATTCTACAGGTTTCTATGTCAATTTAAAATCTATATCAGCTGTGTTTCTGGCAGTGACAGGTCTTGTCTCTGTCTTCATCTATGGTCTTCATCTATGGTCTCTGTTCTGGTTTATGTTATGTTATGTATTTACGTGAGCATAGAATTTTAACTCAGCAGTATTAAAATATATGTACGTAATGTCATAGAATTGATTCACATATCAAAAACACGAAAATGGCCCAGTGCAAGCTCAGCCCTCAGGAATTCATCAAAGATGCATTCACCCCACAAGTGGCTGCTATGTGTACACCAGGAGTTCAAAGGTGTTGCGACAAAAATAATCTTGATTTCATCGAAATATTAGAGCCCTTCTCGACATTGACAAATGATGGTGAGTTGCGTTCGTATCTTTAATCTTCAGTTAATATTCATTCATAGTCTTGATACGTGATTGATGCTTAATTATTCTATTAAATTTCTTTGTTCATTTCACTTGCACATGCAAGCTGTACCATTTCTACCAACGAATACAGCAACGAAGAACTAGAATATGCATACTAATATTATCTATATTTTTAAATTGAGATGTGAAAAATGGTATTTTATTTTAGTGACTTATAAAGACCCGACAGGTTCAGCAGTTACTGTAAAGAATTTGAAATTAACATTTGTCGATGTAAATGCAAGACCACCCCAAACAACATTGGCGAGAAAGCTGCTTAATTCGTCAGTGATTGAAACTTTGGAACCAGAAATGAAGAGTCTTACAGTCAATAATTTTCAACTGGAAGTGCTATCATTTACTCCTTGGTTTGAAAATTGGCGAGATACGTTTTTTAGAGTCCAGTATCCATCAGATCATGAATTCACAAAGCATTTTCTTGCGTGCTTGCTCATAGTATCTTCTACTGATAACAATATGATAGAAACCATGCATCAGTTAGTTCAAAATTTAAATAGAATGCAAAGTGTACCCGAAACTATGCCAAAATGGTTTACTGTTAACGTATTGAAATATTACATTATTTTGCACGATAACGTCGAAGGAGATATTTCGATGTAAGTGTAAAATTGTAAAATAAATAATTGGTTTGTTAGCCAGCAAGCTCGTGTCAAGCCGATCCGTTCATTTTGTAGCGCAAATGAAGGATTTAATGTGTTGAAAACACAATATGGTAGTTCAAACTGTTTTCTGTTGAGAATAAATTCGCGCACACCAGGACTGGAAAAAGTAGAACATTTGCCGGATCCCTGGAGCCAATTTTTAAATAGCAGAATAGATCTGAAAAACTATCAGCTAAGTCCAAGTAGTTCACCAGATCCAAAGAGGCATGACTCATTTGAAATTGGGCAGGAAGCTAATGAAACTAGGAATATAACGTATCACCCTCTAAGTCCAGAACTTGAGAATATATTAGTAATGTGTATTAGAAATAATTTCTTTCATATTATGACGATAACGTTACCGGGTTTTTAGACTGATATGCAATTTGAAAAGGAAGAACCAATGATTAAACAGAATACCGAAAAATGGCGGCATGGTGGTTGTTTGTCGGCCAACGACGTAGAGCAAATTAAAACAATGCTTAATGAATTTGTTAAAGTATGTCTATTGCCTTACATAGAGAAACATTTGTCTTTGCTTCATGATGCAGCCACAAATAAAAAGGGAGTTAGTAAGTCTTTGCTTAGTGCGACAAAACGTTGGTTTGGTTCTGGCAAACCCAACAGCAATTCTCTGGCTGCAAATAATCTAACGTAAGGATTGGAATACGGTCATTAGCAAACTTGTATGTTAAATTTTCTCTATAGTTATTCAGTGGATGCTCCCGAACTTCAAATAAGAAGATTAGGTGACTTATACTTTATGTTTGGCAATTATTCAGCAGCATTTCAAGCATATCACACTGCTAAGCGCGACTATAATGCAGACCAGGCATGGTTGTACTATGCAGGTGCACTTGAGATGGCCGCATTATCTGCTTTTATGGCAAATGAGTCATCAAGAAAAACATATGATTATATGGAAGAAAGTATTGCTACTTATTTGACTACATGCAAGTAAGCCGTATCAGCTCTACCATAGTATCACACGTCACATTTAGATATATTATAGGTTGCCACAGTTTGCAACTAGAGCTACGATTTTGAGCTCAGAATGCTTAAAAGCTAAACAGTTGTATGGGGAAACGGCACACCAATTGATAAGAATGACAAGTGAAGATTCCGATTTGAGATCAGCTCTGTTTTTAGAACAAGCGTCCTGTTGCTTTATTCAGTCCAATATGCTGAGGAAATATGCTTTTCATATGGTACTATCAGGTCATAGATTTTTTAAGGCTGCCCAAAAGAAACATTCCTTAAGGTATTAAATATTACAACCAAAATATATATTTGAATACGTGGCTACGTATTCAGTTTATTTAAATATTTTATTGAACAGGTGCTATAAACAAGCATATCAAATATATGAAAAAACTGGTTGGGACTTGGCAAGTGATCATATACATTATACGATTGGACGCTTAGCAAATCACTTGCAAATATTCGATGAGGCTGTGAAATCATTTGCAAAATTATTAAATGGCGAAAGCAAGCAATCCGGATTGCAACAGGGTATCTTTTTGAAAGAATATCTTACAATTTTAGAGGTAGGTTTTTAACTATTCACAAATATTTCACGATCTTTAATGCAACTTTCTTAATTTTAAGTTAAAAAGGAAAGATGATGGGTTAAATGAACTACCCATTCTTCCAGTTCCCGAATTAAATAATGCAGTCATTAAAGTACTAGTTGGCCCGGCGAGACCACTATCGACACCAGGGAAAGTTCCAGCATTGGGAATACATTTTACTGGTTGTGAAAATTCCACTGTCGAAGAAAGGTGGCACAAATTGGAAGAACTACTATTATCTGAAGAATCCGGAAAAGCTCCAGTGGTTTTTAAACCTGTAGTTACATTGCGCACAGCTAGGTCGACGGATACAAATACTCTGCTAGCAATAATCAATGAGCCAATACAAGTGTCAATTCAATTAATAAACTCCTTGCAGACTGTTTTACAATTGAAGGATCTTTACTTGATTTGGTGTTATGAAAATGATAAGAAATCTGTTACAAATTTGGAATCAAACGATGATGTAGACAAGTACATGAAAACGTACGTTACAAAGTCAGTTGTTATCCAAGGAAATTCTAGACAAGATCTCATTTTATCTTTGACTCCTGTAGCAACTGGAGACGTGTTTCTTTCTGGTATTTGTTATTGTTTGACTGCGTCGGGTGATAATACCGATGCCGTATCTGTGAAAGGAAAGCAGTTATTTAAAGTCTCTAATAGAGAAAGCTACTGTTCAGTACAACCTATCTATCTTAAAATTCTTCCTTTTGCACCATGTTTGCAGGTAAACAAAAATGTACACTTTGTTTTTGTTGAGCCCGGCTATAATCCCTTCTATGATGTTGTAGATGACCTTTTCTGAAATTAATTTAGATTTTCTGGCCGGACAAATGCAAAGAGTGTCTGTAGATTTTCAAAATACTGGATCAGTTTCTCTCAAGAACATCATGATAGCAACGTCTGTACCGCATTTACTCAGTAATTGTGAATTGAAAACTAATCAGTTAGAATATGCAATAGGAAGTGACGATACACCTCATAATAAGGGAAAAAAAGCGCGAAAAAACCACATTACTACCATACCATTGCCTTCAGGTCAATTGGAGAGTGGCCAAAGTATCTCGTTTTATATATGGGTAAAAGCACCGCCTGTCAAGGGACCATCTTCAATCGATTTGCTCGCATATTATGAGAACGTCGATAGTCAACGAATACCAAAGTAAGTATTACATGTTTAGTTTTTGCTTTCTCATGTGTGAGAAACCCATTTTATTTGCAGATATAGGCTCATTAGGCACACTTGGAACTTATCAGTTCAGGAGTCGATTACGGTAGACATTTCTACTCAAAACAGTTATACGTCTACGACCGCAGAAGATCTCGCTTTGGCATTGAAGACTACAAACTTAAATCAAATCCATAATTCCATATCCACAGAAATAACTCTTCTAAATATTGCCTTATTGAGTAATAATTGGGTATTAACTCAGGATATTGTAACTCCCAAATATATAAATTTAAAAGCCCAGGAGTCCGCACACATACTTATCAAAGCAAGACGCAAAGTCAGTAAAAGTTGCAAACAAACAAATTTGTCCCTAAATTCTGAGAAAACTACGTTACCACATTTATCGACTGCCTTTCAAGCTTTTGCAAGGAAAAGTCATGTACCAGAACTGAACATTTTCGAGCTTAACAGTGAAAATGACAAGAGAGAGGGGACATTAATTCTCGAATGGAGAGCACTGGTTTGTGACGCCTCAAATAGGCGAATCGTTTATGGACATACATGTGTTCCTATAGAAATCAATAGAAAAGAACACCACTTGGAGACTCTAATATCAGAATCAATAATAGATTTGAATAGTCTGACGACTCACGAGAGTGACTACTTATACACTTCTCAAAACCTAGTTACATATAATCTATTTTACTCTGCTGTTGTTAGGCATAATTTCAAGAAAAAAGTCAGTTGTGTTGTGCCTATAACTCTGGTAATACACAGCGTTGCCGATAAAAAAATTACCATCACAATTAGCACAATTGCTTCTAGGTAAGTTGATGTCCTTTTCAAATATATGTATATGATTTGAGAAAAAGAAAACGATTTTAGCATGGTTTCGTGCAATACCCATAATCGTTCAACAAAATCTTGTCTGACTTCATCGCAAGCCACAAGCAACTTTTCGTGGCTAACAAATGGAAAAGTCGTACGCATTTTGGAACCACTAACTACTATAGCAGTAAAACTGTCTGCGATAATAGCCAACCCGGGCACATTCGACCTAGGAGCTAATTTATTGGTGTTTTGCAATAGTTTGGTGCATGATGACGTTCCAGTTCTGCAGAGAAATCAAGCGACTTCATCGCTTATCGTCATTGATGGTGGTAGTTAACGGTACGAATTTTAGCAATTAGAGTTGCCTTCAATGTATCGTATAAAAACGAGTTCTAATAAAAATTAGGGAAAACATGTTTATATACTTTCCTGTAAACCCGGCTTTCTAGTCATTTTAGTATAGTATCGGACCGTACCATAGCAACTGTTTATAATATTTATAATATTTTACAAAAATGTCAAAAACATTTATTTTGCAGGAATATAATTAATAATAGCATACTGCGGGTAAATAAAACTTAAGACCTACTTTTGTAGCCTGATTTAGAGCTAATATAGTGATTTTTAAAATACCGCTTATGAACATTCTGTATTAATTGCATATATGTATTGAATATACGTGATTCTTTGGTTCCATATTCAGTTGTTCTGATGGCTAGGTAGCGTTATTAATTGCAATGCTAACATCACACTAACTTCTTTAATTCGTTTTGCACCATTTTGACTCTATATTTTGATAGCAGATTAACTACAACATCAATCATAAACAAATGCATATTTGAACGGAAATCGAAGCAGTAATAAAAATTATGTTTGCTACAAGTCGAATGTATTCTGACAAACATTAATAATTAATTATACTGAGGGAACTATATATACAATATGAGTGTCATTTATCTTTATTAACTTCGCCGTTTCCTCATTGTTTGTTTGGTTTGCAATACGAATACAACAATCGATCCGTCAGTGGCATATTGTAGAGCTAATTCGCCTCCTGTGTCAAGTCCAGCTCTCGTGATCTGAAAATTGATCAAACTGTTGTTTTCGTTTAAATGGCTAAAAAACTGATGATAAGAAAATGCTGGCTAATTAAACCGCTGATTTTTTGGATTCGGCTTTAAATTTAAATTTGAACTTAAATGGATGTTATCGCAAACAACTTCGAAAAAATATGCCGCGCGGACGACCGATGGTTTTTGACGACCTGTAGCAAGAAAACGCAAATGGAAAGTCTTAATAACTAGAAAACCTACCCATTGCGTTTCTTATAAATTTTGGCAAAAACGGCTTTTTATGTTAACACAATGTGATCATTTATTATTTATTTATAGCTTTCCGGCTTATAACTTTCCATATTTGTTGCAATGTCAAGCAGGTTGTAGGTGTGCAATGCAGCTAACCACTGCCGGCAAACCACAGACGCGCGTTATTAAGGATGCTATACTTATATATAATTTATTGCTAACGTTTTGCACTGGCCTATTTAAGGAAGCATATTTCATTATACCGAAAGGTGTGAATATATTAATTCCCGTTATAATAATTTATTAAATTTAAAAATTAAACCTATTAAAGGTGAAATTATAAAATGGTTACTGGTTACTACTAGGCAAAGTGAAAAAATGTAATTGTCTTTATGTAAATTTTAAACAAACGTACTAAGTAGTATATACTGGTAACTGGATATGTTATGTTACTGAGGTTCATGTATATCAGTCTTGGAAAATAGAACAAAACACTGTTATCGGACTCTGGTATAAAATTGATAAAACACTATCAGTAATAAGAGTATTAATTCCAACAGCATCGGGCTTGTTGCGGTTAGAACGCAGATAATTTTACTTACGATTTAAATATTGTAAGAAGAGAGTATATTCGAGCAAATAAATAATTGTTGGGATGTCTTCTACTACGCCTGAATTAAAAACAAGCCATATCAACGTCCTGTGAGTTTATAGCAATTAGATGCCGGTCAGAGGTGATATAATTTGACGGACATTTCAGCAAGCATAATGCATTTTGTCTAGGTGGAAAAGCATTGGACATAACTTGCATGTTAGTGCAAGTCATTTTATTTCTCTGCAAATTGATCTATTATTGGATTGAAGTGTTTTATATGAAAATAAATCCTCCTCGTCCACAATCAGTGAGTGGAGAAATAATTCTGGTTAGTATTCGTAATAGCAAATTGTTTGTAGTATGTAATATTTAGAATATTTGAAACAGATTACAGGTGCAGGTCATGGCATTGGCAGAGAGCTGGCTCTGGTGTACTCCGCAAAAGGTGCAACTGTCGTTGGATGGGACATCAATAAAACAGCATGCGATGAAACGATTAGGCGAATAGCAAGTTTCAGAGGTCGCCCTAAAGCATTTTCTTTTCAGTAAGACATCATGCTAATCGTTCGCAATTCGGTAATATTAATTTGTCTCCTCACAGATGTGATATTACCAATAGAGTAGAAGTTCTCCATGTCGCCAAAGAAGTGGAAGCAAAAGTTGGTCAGGTTACAATTTTAGTCAACAATGCCGGTATTATGCCTTGCCACTTATTGAACCAGCATACATGCAAAGAAATCGAGTCCGTTTTCGCCGTTAATTTAATTTCGCACTTTTGGGCAAGTGTAATTTGTGTAAACGTGTTAGCAACAAGTCTTATATTATCAGTATTATTGTTTATTTCAGCTTTTGGAAGCGTTTCTACCGGGAATGAAACAAACAAATCGAGGGCACATAGTGAGTCTGTCCTCGATGGCGGGTCTAATCGGATGTGCAAATTTAGTGCCGTACTGCGCTTCGAAATTTGCGGTTCGTGGATATATGGAATCTTTATCTGACGAGCTCAGATTTACAAATACGAATAATAAAATTAAACTTACATGCGTTTATCCCTATATGGTCGATACCGGTTTGTGCAAGAAACCCAGAATTAAATATGAAAAAGTCATGCCCTTGTTATCGCCAATGGATGTTGCACAGGAAATTTACAATGCACAAACTAACGGAAAGAGAGAAATTACTATACCAGGATATTTGAATGGGCTTGTACAATTGGGGAGGTATATGAATCTCTTAATGCATATCGAAGAATTATCGCTGCTAAATTAACGTAATACGATATTTTAGGTTATTGCCATACAGGGCTGCAATCGCATTAAAAGACACATTTGATACGTTCGTAGAGTCTGACCTATAGGGAAGGTATGAGGCGGTAGAAGAGGACAAACTACTTCATGGTATAAGCAATAACAAAATAACATATGTACTATAAAAATAAATATTTAATCAATAGCAGTAGTTTTGTAGTAAAAGTGTGGAGCCAGTTCTATCAGCCATTCACTGTGTATTACCGTTATATCTCGCATGTACAGTTTGACCTTATGCACAAGTTCAGAAAATACTACCCACTGAGGTTGGGGTACGCTATACAGAACACTGTCTGGATGAATAAATAACTCTATATCACCACGAACTGTTTTATATACTCCACTTCTATGCAAATAAGCTGCATTAGGAAAAAATCCTGTTACTAAACATCTGCAAAGGTTGTTGGTTGTCTTATTGCCAGACACTATCGGAATGTTGTAGTTTGCCAACGTTTTTTCTAGCATTCTTTTGATTTCAACCACGCGTTTCAGACTCATATAACTGAAATAGTTTTTGTGACAAAAACCTTGGGACAACTCACTCTGGATAAATCCTTGATAAATATTTAAATATGTTATCAAATCTCCTTCTGCCACTTCAAACAGCCTCTTTTGCACCCTTGCTTTTAAATTGCCAGTGCCTGTCGATGGCTTAACGAAAACTGTTTCAACTTGAAGCATGGCTATTATAATTAGAATCTCTTCACTGCATCCAAAATCGGCAGCGCTCAATAAAATTTTTGAATGAAGAGGGTCCAATGCAAATTCTGCCATGTAAAATCCCAACGGTCTGGTGAGCTCAGAATGGATGTTAATTGAATCGAGTGCAAATAATGTTTCTAATGCGCTTCGCAGGTTTTCAATCGGAGGAATGTTCGGAAAATTGAACTTTAAAATATTATCAACCCCCATTGCCTTCAGCTGTAACACTGCATACGTTAAATTACTTCTAACCATTTCAGGTGGTGTCATGGCAGCTAAGTTTCGAGCGAACTCTTCGGTATACAATCTGAAAACTTTTCCTGGTCTCATCCGTCCTGCCCTGCCAGCCCTTTGGTCTGCAGATGACTTACTAATTGGAAGTATCATGAGGGTGTCTGTATGTGTTTCCATATTATACCATTTTAGTTTTACGAACCCGCAATCTATTATGTAGACTATTCCTGGAATAGTAAGTGAAGTTTCAGCTATATTTGTAGCAACTATAATTTTCCGGTGACCATCTGGCGCTTTCTTGAATACTTTCAATTGCTGATGGTAGGGGAGTGCCCCATATATTGGCATAACCATAACTCTTAATTTTGCTTTGGATTGTTCCAGTTCATTTGCATATTCTAGTAGTAACTGTACAGTTTTATCGACTTCTTCTTGTCCAGTAAGAAATATGAGGATGTCTCCCGGTTTTTCTTTACAGTTTATGGTAATTGCAACATCCACTGCACTTTTTATGTAACAAGGCACAGGCTCATTCACATAATATATTTCCACAGAGAATTGTCTACCTTCTACTGACATGATAACAGATGTATTTAACTTAGAATCATCAGATTTATTATTATTGAAGAACTGTTGCATTGCAGACGCATCCAAAGTGGCAGAGGCAACAATTAATCTTAATTCTGGCCTTTTCTGTAATACTTTTTTCATAAGCCCCATTAGAATGTCTGTATATAAACTACGCTCGTGAACTTCATCAATCATTATAACAGAATAATTCGTTAATAAAGGATCTGACATCATCTCTCTCAGCAGGACTCCTTCAGTCATATATTTGATCTTGGGTTTACTGGAACAACAGTCGAAACGAACTGCATATCCAACAGTATCTCGTTGCAATATAGTGCCAGTTTCATCAGCTACCCGTTGGGCCAAGGAAATTGCTGCAGTTCTCCTAGGTTCACAAATTCCAATCTGCAAAGGCCACTCACCTTCAAATAGGTATTGTGGAATTTGCGTACTTTTTCCACTACCCGTCTCACCAACAAGAACGAGCGTTTGAAACTTTTCTAGGAGATAGAGAATGTGATTTCGGTTTTTGAATATTGGCAAACGCTGTCGTTGAGTCTGGATCGATTGGGAAATAAATCTATTATACACGAAACTAGTATGATCAATAGCATTGTCTTTATCAAGCAAGGAACTAGTGTCTGAAGGTTTCAAAAACGTTGCTTTAAATTCCATTATGCTTACAAAAACTGCAGCTGAAACAACATCACTAAGCAACTAGCTCGAAGTACGGTACACTTGTAAACGGTTGATATGAGGTCTTTATCTATGGTTATGAGTCTTATGCATAGATAAAGAAGTGGTCTTATGACTTATGACATATGATGACACAAATGAAGGGCTGAACACAGAACACCTCAATCACCCCCCTTGGATGGCAAACCACCTCCTCAGGCACCACTCCAAGGGAAGTCGTTTGAGGTTCTCGAAATTTATAGTTTTGTCCATCCTTGCCTTAAAGATCACTTCAAATTAAGCACTCTTAGTGAACATTTTTTCTGAAGGTCCATAAATTAAGCCCAAAAACATTCACAAACTTTAAAGGAAATTGCCATTTTAAGGATAAATTTCACACGGTGTTGCCAAACTGCACAAAATATTTTAAGTTAATGAAAACTGTTTTCTTGGATACCCATTCAATTTTGGGTTAATTTCGGTTAGTTTGGGTACAAAGCATATACCACACCAATACATTTTCTTTACACGTAGATCAAACACGTTGGAGGCACACAAAATCGGAAAATCCAAAAATTCCGTTGAAAAAGGTTGAATGTTTGGATTAAAACCCCTGACCTATCGCAACAACGCCGGATGCTTCACCATAGATAAGACGGATCACGTCACACTAATGGTGCGAATTTACTGCGTTGTTCCATATCGATATTTGTGACAAGTATTTCGGGTCATCCCTAATGGCGCGCAGTATAAAAATTTACATTTAGCACCGTGAATTATTTTTGTCAAATTCTGTAATGAAGATCGAAAAGGTTATGGTCGTGATTCTTCCATATTGAAACAGATTTTTTTAGATGAGTTTTGATTGTTAAGTTCTTAATTTAGCAAAGTGGAATCTTTCACAAAATGCAGAACGAGTTACCTGTGGACACGGAATTCCCTGTATGGGGCTTACTACCTAAAAGGGAGACAGGAGTGGTCTCATTTTTATCTAAATACCCATCATATGATGGTAAAGGTATTATTATTGCAATCCTGGATTCGGGCGTCGACCCTGGGGCACCCGGTTTGCAGGTAAGATGTAATCAGTTAATTAAACAATTAACTCGCCGGCTATTCTCTAAGACGATTAAGCTGCAGTTCTGCAGTTGATGTGTAGCCCTCATTTTTTCGCTAAGTCATCCAGTGAGTGTGTGTGTGTCAGCACAGTTTATTAAATCATGTTACATTTTAACATCTGGATTTATTGCCGTTGTCTGAATAACTCTCCACTTTCCCGAATTTTGATTAAAATGAACACATGCACTACACACATTTTTTTCGAATAGGAAACTTCTGATGGAAAACCTAAAATAATAGAAAGATTTGACTGCAGTGGTTGTGGAGATGTTAATACTAGCACGCTTGTATCAGCTGAAGATGGGTACATTACGGGTCTTACTGGAAGAAAAATGAAGGTTTGTTCAAGTGAAAATTAACATAATGTTTCTGTTCTGACATCAGTTGCAGCAATTCTAAATCGTCCAAAAACACGATTTTTTGGTAAAGTATAGTTAAACGGTTTTTGTCAATCATCTAGGGGCGGATCCAGCATTCGAATCAAG